GTCCATTAAAAACAAAAAACAAAAAACAAAAAAATAAATAAAAAATAAACAAGATATTGAAAGGTATATGAAATAACCCATGCCAGGTTTAAAAAAAAATTTTATAACAACTGCAATGTTTGTATATCTCAATTACAATATAAAAACTTTAATATTTGACTACCAGCCATCTCTGGATACCTCATATGCCAGAGACTTAATCCTAGTCATGTGGAGGACCCATATCCATAAATTATATCGCATATCATATCCACTGATAAACAAGGCATGTAGTTGCATTCCTGGGTATGTCCGAATTTGGGAGGTAAACAATGCTGATCTTTTGGAAGAGATAAGCTAAATCATCCACTTTTTGTTGAAAATTTTGGAAAAGACCGACAGGACCAAGAGAAAGGACCACTAGCATCCAACGAAAGTATTTTATCCTTGAAAGAACTGACGACTAGTAATTCTTTTTCTAGGAAAGGAGAAGAGCTACTGTACTTGCTTTTTAGTAAGTAATAAACTCTGAACTTGTCAGCAAGTAGCATATGAGAACTACTTCTAAATAACAAGTGCTGTACTAGCAGTGAGTGATAAACTCTGAAGAAGTTAGCAAGTAGCATATGAGAACTACCTTTAAATAACAACTACCGACTTATAGTTTTTAGTTTTATGCTCTTTATTACTTACTAGTTACTGTTTTTACAAAAAAATATTTAGGAAATTTTGGTTTTTTAGTAATTATTGGAAAGAGTTGTATATATTAATTTAAATTCTTTTATTAAATATATATAGAATTTTGTTGTAACTTATATAATAAAAAATTTATTTTAAAAATTTTAGCAACTAATTGGACATATTGGACCTAAACTATATTCAAGTATATATCTAATGTCCAGTCCAGTTTAATTATGTTAAAATTAGATGGATATATGTTCAATGCTGACACTAACTATAAATTACAAAAATTATAAATATATAATTATCTTGAAAACTAGTATTAATAATTTTGGTACTATTTGAATCATCTTAATAAGAAAATTCAAATTGTATCAAAATTATTAAGATTGAATCACTAGATTATGAAATATTTGCAAAAAAACAATTTTTATGACAAGTTTTAGTTGTCAATTATTAAATTGAAATTGATAAAAAAAATAATTATACTGTAGTCATTATTCTTTAGTATTGATCAATTCTTTATAACCAACTTTAACTATTAAGTCAAATAATTTATTTGCTACTTTATCTAGTTAATATTATCTCTAAGTTTTATTTTATTTTCTTGATTCATTCAGCTAATTTATTGTTTTCTATTTAATAGATAAACCTATTAAATTCTTTTTAGTTAAAAAAGAAATTAGTAACTTGACAAAAATTCTTTTTACATTATTAGTTTTTCGAATAGGTTTTTAATCAAACTCATTTTCTTGATTTGTATATTTGGTTTAACTTTTATTTTTCAAAAAAATTTATAGTAACTTTGGTCTTACTTAAATTGATAGTTTATAAATATAATTATCGTCTAGTTCTAAAGATTAAATAATAATAATAATAATTCTTGGCTCTATGAAAGTTCTATAACTGTTAAAATTTAAAATACTTTTAAATAAAAAAATATCGATTATAGCAAAAGTATTATAAAAAAAAAGAAAAAAGTCAAAATATATTTTATTGAATATCTAATTAATACCATAATGCTAATAATTTGCCTTAATAATGATAGCCACTCACATGCCTTTTTTTGTTTTGTTGACATGATATGTTCAATAATTTAATCAAAAAATTAAGCAAATAAAATTTTCTGTTATAAATAAAATATCTATGCCTTTATTAGAAAGCCAAAAAAAATGATACAAAAAGGCAGTTATTTATAAAATGTATGTATTATTTAAAATTTTTTAAAAATGCATATACCTTTCTTTCTTGCAAATACTCTTGTATCTCTCTATCTATCTTTTATTTCATTACAGCCTCATTTTCTAAATAGTCTTATTCTTCAAATGAAATTCCAATATAAGGAGCCAAAAATTCTTTTATAAAGTTTGTTTTTAAAAAGTATGTAGCAGCTTCGCAAATAAATTTTTCATAACTATTACTTTCAATTAGAACTTTTGCTGTTTGAGACAAAACAACAAAAACAATAAAAATGGCAAAAACAACAAGAGTGACAAAGTCAACAAGTACAAAAGAATAACAAAAACAAAAGAACAATAAAGTGATAATTAGAAAAGGATAAGAATTGGATATATCAATCAGAGAAGATATTACACTAACTGATTTTACATAGTAATATTATACAAGAATTTTATATATACAAAGAAAACTCACAAAACTCTAAATATTCAACCTTCAAGCATTAGTAGAACCTAATCTGTGGGTTTTATTGTCTTTATTTATAGGTTTTTTTATTTAATACTATTTAATTTTTTTTTTGAAATATTAGAAAACAAAAAAAGTATAAATTTTAGCTTCGTCACCAAGATCCTTTTCATGAAGCTAACTTATATTAGATCTTTTTTAATCACAAACTAGTATAAACCACAGGCTATATGGTTACTTATAAGCACAAAGTAGGTTTCATTAATAAATTTTTAAGTGATAGTGAATTGAATTTTTTTACTATATATAAATATATAGTACAGAACATTTATTTGATAACTTAACTAGATTTTTTTTTTAATTCGGTTTTTTTTCCCACATTTTCTTAGATTTTTTGAGCATTTCACTTCAGCTTTGGGATTTTTTGAACTTAGATATCAAGTTTAAATAAGTGTCTTATTTCACCTTTTTGAGCTCTTTTCGAGTTTTTTTTTATTTTAGTTTTTTTTCAGATTGTATTTTTTTTCTGGATTTTAACTTCAAGTAAGATATTGAAAATTACACTAGTTTATAGTAGGATATTATATTATTGTTCAGATATAAGGGCTCTTTGGTTTTTTGTTTTTATTACTTGTTACTTTTTGCTAATTGCTTTTTTTTATTTTAGATTCTATTAGTTAAAGTTTCTTTCAAAGGCCTCTTTATTTAGATATGATCTATTATTGTTTCAAGCTGTAAGCTATATTTTACTAGAATTTTTTTTAGCAGTCAAAAAAGATATTATAATAATTGATTATATAATTAATATTTTATTCTTTTCAAGAAAATAAAAAATACAAATAAAAATGTACAAATTTTCAAAAAGGTATACTCTAAGTTTTTTAAATAGTTATGTATTATTTTTTACCAATAATTAATATTCTTTAGCTAAGACACTAACTATATTTTTAGTTTCTTTTTCTTTAGTTGCTTTTTTAGTTTTATATACTTCTTCTTGCAGAAGTTTATCTAATCGATTGAGCCCAATCTTATAAAAAGTAAATATTCATTTATAACTATCTTGGCTCATCTCTTGTGTATATTTGAAGAGATTATGTTCTTTTGGATTTGTAAAATCGAATGCACAAGTAAGTTTATTAACAAGTTCCTATAAAACTTCTGTATACTGTTTACTGCTCGATCTTGTAAAATTATTATATTATCACTTACAAATTCACTATATAACATTAGTATCATCTCGCATTTGTTCTGAATTAATGCAATTCATTGTTTTAAAAGCGCTAGGTCTGATAAACCAGAAGTTAAATTCTGTTTGACAAACTTAATGCCATATTGTTCTAGAGCTTCATCAAAAGCTAAATAGTAATATTTCCTGGTAATGTTCACTAAAGCAACATGTTTAAGCAATTCATATTGTTGTGAATAGCATGATATTGATTCTAAAAAGAATGCTATTAATATTGTATAATTATTTTTCCAGCAACAGAAAATAGAGGCGTGAATGCTGCCAAATTTTTTAATTGCATGTCTAGATTTCTTGTATGAATTCCCACACGATAAGCTTTCCAATACCTAGCTAAACGGTAATACAAGTACTAAACTTTTAGGGCATTGTTATTTCTGCTTATTATGATATTCTCTATTTCTATATTATCATTTTCATCTTGTATCATATTATTTTTTTTTAGATGAAGATGAATTACTATAGCTATAGCGGCATATATTAATCCTAATACATTGCATATTGAACAATAATCTACATTTTGCTCTAGTTTTTCAAAAAATTTAATATCTAGTTTTGCTGCCATACTATATAAACCATATCCACTAAATGCAGCAATTAAAACACTACACATAGCCTTCAATATGTGCCACTACCCAAGCATAAATCAGCAAGTTAAATTTTTATTTTTATATGATTTAGTTCTTCCAAAAATAGCTATATCGCATGCTAAATTAATAACATCTTGACCAAGATTTTTTAAAAACATGTCAATTGACTCAAATATAGCTTTATTACTATTAGGAGCTGGCTCAGATTCTAGTATAATGAGATTCGGTGAGTTTACTTGACATCTTAACTCAATATTAGCAAATATTTTTTCATTAATTTTTTTAATTTCAAAGTTTTTCTCATTTTTATTTAATAATTGTCTTATTATTTTATCAAATTTTATTTTCCATTTAGTTGTAAATTCTGATTTACCAAACAAGTTTTTTTGAGGCTCTAGATTTTGATTTTCTTGGCAAAACTTGACAAATCAAATGAAAGTTCAAACTAAAATACTAGTCATAGAGTGGTATGCGTGAATCATCATGTGATATTATAAATATTGTCATATTGAAAAACAATATTCTTGAAATCAATATTGTTAATTACTGCAACATTCCAAATATTTAGTCCTTTTATTAATTTTGTTAATAGATTGTATTTACTAATATGCTCTTTTTCTAGCACTGTCACGTGTTTCTATATACAAGATGTTATATATACCGCATAAAGTATTGCTTGCAGGAAAGAAATTAATTTTGGTTTTTTGCATAAAGAAGCCATAGTAAAAGTAAGCTATATTTTCCATGAAGGAAAGACAATTGTTAAAATAATTGATGCAAAAAATGCAGATGTTTTTTTTATTGCTTCTCTATTAAATTGTGATTCCTTTTGTCTATACTGTCTTTGTTTTTTTTCACTAACTATATATTTATATTTTTCAATAGATTCAACCAATCTATCAAAAAAATTAGTAAACACTAAAGGAAAGCTGTTGTAATATTCATTTAACGAATTTGGATTTTCTAAACTATTATGATGTTGCTCAATATTTTTATGTGAGTTACATATAAAATTTCCTAATGCTTCTCCATATTGTCTATATTCATCATCTTTTATATATTTTTTATCTGTAGGTAAATAATAATTAAATGCTTTAATCCTTATAGCAGTTTTCACTAATAGTGAACTAGATAAACAATTTGTTGTATTTGTTGAGGACAATGCATTTAAATTTGAATTTTTTAATAATTTCATTATATACCACACTACTTTTTTTTTTGATTCTCATTTTTAGAATGTGAAAGATTTGATAACTACTTTGAGAATATTTTTAAAACTTGATTAGTATTATATTTATGCAATTCATTGTTAACACATGTTCGAGACTTTTTTCCATCATGTTTATGAATATATTTACCATTGCTTTCGATGCACTTTGTACAGATATAATAGACATGATAACTATTGGTAATTTTTGAAGAGATATTTTCAATTTCTTGAAAAGCAGGGTATAATTTTAAACTGGCACATAGTATTTGAATATTTCTTCCACATATATTTCAACTATGTTCTCCACAATTATCACTTTTACTAAAAAAGTTTTTATATTTATTACAGAACAATCATTTTTTGGATTAATAAATTTGTAACTGTGGTTACTGTAACCGCATCCAATAAAGCCAATCAAAATTTAAGATCAGGTGTAACGTGAAATCAAAACAAAACCAGTTTTTTTAAGAAATCGTTAATAACTCAAAATTTTGACTATAAAACTATCATTTACGTTCTAACAAAAAAAATTTCTTGCTAAATTTTGATATAAACTATGCCCTTTCCTACTCCAAGCCTCACTCTAACCCTAACCTTAATTGCAAAGTTTTATTTTTATAAAAAATAATTGTTTTGATAATTATGTTACACCTGATCTTAATTACGGTTACAGTAACCTACGGTTACAAATCAATTAATCTTCATTTTTTTGGTTTAACTATACTCAGACTAATATCTCTAAATTGTTTGGCATAAGGCGAGTGAAGTTTACTATGATCAAAATTGAAATGACTAGTGCAAACACCTAAAATATTTGTATTGAAATTTTCTTTCTATGTTATTTCTATTTTTCATGTTTCAAATAATTGAGATAATAATTTCAGATTATATATTGAATTACAACATCTAATTTCACCTTTTAAATTATTATTATCTGACATTTCATATAATCATGTGAATTTTTTTGCCATGATATTTTTTGCATAATTTGTTTTGCAAACATCACAGAAAAAACTTCACATAGTCATATTAACTATTGGATAACATCATTATTAAACATACATACGACAAATAACAGCAAATTGTTTTTTTTTATCAGAGTTAATTTCACTCATATGCTGCATAGCAGCACATGAAGTGACATTAATTCTGACAAAAAAAACAATTTGCTGTTACTTTTTGTCATTTGTTCAATAATGTACACATAATAATACAAGGTGATAGATTATTTTCTTCTATATTTAAGAATTTATAATTCATAAGCTCATCTTCAAATGTTAAATTTTCATTATTATTATTATCTTCTTGTATTTTCAAGGAATCTTGCTCTTCTAACCAACATCTTGTCTTCATAGCAGCCAGATAATCATGAACAAATGACAGTTCATCATAGTTAGTATTAAAACTTTCTTCTAAATTTTCATTTGAAGAATAATTATAGTAATTCTCTATTATTAATAATGAATCAAGGTTTTGTAAAAAAATTTTAATAATAAGTATTGTTTTGGATAATATCAGATAGAGAATATTCATGTTATTTATAAATAACTGACTTTACTAGATATAATTCATTTTTTTCAGATCTGCTTTAGAAGAAACGGTTTAGAAAAGATGTTTCAAATAATGTTTTAGTTTATTAAAATTTTCAAACTCGATTTTGTAACGAATGGACAAGAATAATTGAAATAAAATAGATTTGACAATTATTAATTCAATAAATTTAATTGTTTTAACACAATACAAATTTTGTACAATTCTAACAATATAATCATATACAAGATGTCTCAAAAGTTCCTATACACAGTCTCCTTTTTTTAAAGCGATCTTATATACAGAGATTACGATAATTATTTATGCAACTCTTAAAAAAAAAAGGGACCATATATAGAAACTTTTGGAACACCTGGTATACTATTTAGGTTTTATAAATTACAAAGAAAACTACACTAGAAATTATTATTCATTAAAATTTTCAAACTTGATTCTGTAACGAATAGATAAGAATAATTGAAATAAAATAGGTTTGATATTTTATTGATTCAATAAATTTAATTGTTTTAACACAATAAATTTTGTACAATTCTAATAATATGATTGTATATACTATTTAAATTTCACAAATTGCAAAAAAAACTATACTAGAGTTTATTACTATTATAATTCTTTTGTTCAAAACGTGTATTTATACTATATATTTGAATTTACTCATTAAATGGAGCAAGTAATCAAGAATTCAAAATTAATAAAAGTTTTTTTAAATAAAATTATCACAGTGTGAAAAATAA